GTACTATCTTATTGGATGTTACTAAGTATCCATATTCCTTCGAATTTACTCTTGACACAAGCTTACTAAGCTGGTACCAAGATTACTACTTAGATCTGACTTTAGTATAACCTGTATCTACTAAATCAGTTTTAAATGCCAGAAGTGTTTGAATTTCAGTAAGTCCATTCTTTTTCCATAGTTTCCTTTTATATTTACCATATCACCTGCTAGTGCACCTTCTCTCCATTTCTGATATGTTCACTGCTTCTCTCGCATCGAGTGCCAACTCTCCATATCAGGAAACTTCTTTTTGGGAACTTCCTTATATACAGATCTTCTATTCACATGGACTTAAGCCACAGGGCTTTACGTACATTCATATGCTTTCGTAGATTACAGAGTTTTTGCCTCCAGCTAGAATTGAACTGTTGACCTTGTCTGTGGAGAAAGGGGCACCTAGACCACTAGGCTACAGGACCTTATCCCTCTACAAAATACTTTTTTGCTAAATATAAACCAAAAAAAATATGCTTAATATTAAAAAACATTAAAAATACTAAATTCTTATAACAATTAAAAAAATATATTCTTTGTTATATAAGAGATAAATATACAAAAATCTACAAAAAAAAAATATAAATATTAATTTAGTAAAAAAAATTACTAAAAACTTGCTACAAGTTTTTTTTATATATAACTTAATCCTTATATAGGAAATTACTTAAGAAGAGATCAATAATATTATTAGAAATTTTTTAAATATTAAAACTTCTGATACAGATAAGCTGACATGTAAGTTTTATAAACATACTAAAAAAGTAATAATACTAGTTCTATATAATGTTTTTAATTATGCTTTTAGTTCAGAAGTTATGTCAACTTCTTGATATAAAAGTTTAATTTCTTTGATACTTAAAAAAGTAAAAAACCTTAAAGATATTAATAACTAGAAACCAATATCACTAGTAAATAATAATGCCAAAAGTTTTATAAAAATTTTGGTCAATTGTCTTAATCTTAATATAAAAAAATAATATTTCATTAATAATATAAATTTATTAAAAACAGATTTATTACAAATGTAGTTCTTGATATTATTACTATTGAAAAACAAATCAGATTCTTTTAAACAATATTAGTTACTTTTTATTGATAAACAAAAAGCATTTAATCATATTAGTTATAATTTTTTAAAACTTATATTAAAAAATATAAATTTTGATTTTAAATTTATAAGCTTAGTATATAATTTTTTCTTTAACTAAAAGACTTACATTATTGATATAAAAGTTATTTTTAAACTATTTAGAATAGAAAGAGTATTAAACAAAAAGATTCTTTTTCTTTATTTCTTTGCATATTAGCCTTTAAACCTCTTATAAGAAATTTAAAAAAACAATTATAAGATATAAAACTAGAAAACCAGTTTCTTAAAACTTTTGCTTATGCAAATAATTTAATAATAAGAATTGTGTTTTTTACAAACTGAAACAAAACTTTGATAACATTAAGCCTATACAAGACAGCTTCTAATACAAAAATTAACAAAACTAAAACTAAATTAGTTATTCTTATTACTATAGTCTGACAAATAAAACTTACTAATGAAAAACAATTTGTTAAATTAGAAGAATAAAAAAATATTACCATTTTAGGCTATAATATTCTTACTAATAATCAACTAAAAAAAGATCTCTGAGTCATTATTATTAACAAGCTAAAAAAGTCTTATAACAAGGTTCTAAATAAAAATCTTTTCTTTAAAGAAAAAATTTTAATTATAAATTTATTTATCTTATCTAAAGTCTGGTACTTAGTTTATTTTCTGTTTTTAAACAGAAAACAAGTTGTAAAAATAAACAGAATTATAACTCTTTAAATTAAGAATATATTACAAATGCTTTTCAAATATTTTATCTTTTAGCAATTTATAGAATTGATAGATCTTTAAGTTCTAATTATTAAAAACATACTAGATGCTCACTTAATTACAGTTTAAATAAAGTTTCTTATATTTAATTCTATATAAACAATATATAAAAAAGATAAAATATGCTTAATACTTAATGATAAAAGAAATATCTCTTCTACTTAAGTACTAAATTCTAGAAATATAAATACAAAAGCTTAGCTTTTAGAATAGAAATCTTATTTAAAGATCTGAATAAAAATTAAAGACAAAGTTTTCTTTATTTTCAACTGGTTTTAAAACAATAATAAAATTACAATTAAAGAAATTAGAAAAAATGAACTTTTAGTTAAAAAAACTTTAGAATTTCTAAAAAAATCCACTTCTTTATTAACTATACTACAAACTTTTTTATATGTGTTATAATATATTTGGTTCTTTTTAAAGTTTGTATATAATAAAAAAATATATTTTCTGATATTTTTTTTACAAAATACTTCTCTTGAGTTGTTAATTAAATATATTAGATTATCTAAGACAGAGAATTGTACTTGGTATTCAGATAAGTTACAAACTATAAAATACTTTATCTTAAAATACTCTTGAAGTATAATAATCTGACAGAAAGCTTACAGTTTTCTTAATATTAATGAAGAAATAGCTATACTGTTCTTACTAGACAAAATTTTTTAAATTTTTACTAATACTTGCTCTTAAGTTTTAATCATTTGATCTAGTTATATTTTATTACAATCTATGTGATATGATATTAATACATCTTTGTAAAATAGAAAAATTTAGATAACCTCTTAACTCTCTAGGCTTCCTTGTTAGAAATTATATTTCAAAAGAAATATGAATTTTAAAAAGCAACCCTTTTAGTATTAGATTCAAATCTTTTAAACTAATATATAATATTTAAAAAGTAACTAGTAATTTATAATATTTTAATAAAAGAGTATCATTTATGCCCTAGTTGTAAATACAACAGAAATATTCCAAAAAAAATTTTTACAATACTAATATAAAGTTTAGATCTAAAAAACAAATACCAATGTAAAAAAATTAAATAAACAAAGACCTTTAAATAAGAACATAATCAATCTGGATTCAAACTAAAGAAAAAAGATATTAGGCCAAACTTTATATACCAAAAACAGGTTATAGTTCTACTAAACTATTTGGATTAGAAGTCTAAAAACAAAACAGAAGTATACTAAAGTATTAAGAATATGCTGTAAAGTTAGTACTTCATCATAATACTAAAAAAATAAATCTAATTATTGTTAAAATTTTTATAATTTTATATCTTATATAATTTATTAATATTCACAAAGAATATATATATTTCTGTTTTTGTAAATTTTTAAATCAATTACATACTCATACTAAGGTCTGTTTACTAATTGGTTAGACTAAAAAAAAAGATCAATACATGACCTATTTATTGGATTAAATATAATATTTTATTAAATTATATCTTATCTATAGTAATTTAGATAAATTCTGACCACTCTAGTAGATTTAAATTATAGATAAATCTTATTTTTATGTCTGAGCTTTTATTTTTACATGTAATTTTTATTTTATTTGTACAACTGTGTATTAGCAATCTATATTGTTACTATTTTAAAATTTTTAATAAAGATATAAGTAAGATCTCACCTTAATACTAAAAAAATAAAAAATAAAAAATAAATAAATCCAATGATTAAATTAACAAAAATACAATATTACAATTCAAGAATACAAGTTTATTGATATATTGTTTTAATAAAAATTATGATGCTAATCTAAGTAAATATCATCTTTAATCAATTATTTTTTTCATTTTCATTGCTAGAACTAACAGAGATTTCTTCAGCTCTTACAAAAATTTTATTCTTATTACCAGCAATTTTACAGCTACTTGCAATGACATTTTTGCCTGCTTCTGTTTCTCTTTCTAATTCATCTATGTAATTGTCATCTTTTGAAGAAAGCAAAGAATAGTAAGTAGTTGAAATTGTCCATGCCGAAGCTTCTGATAGTTTTGATTTATCCACCCAGAAAGTATCATTGTACCATCATATTCTGTCACATTTGATGTGCGAAATTTTTTCACTTAATCTGAGTCGCAAAATTTTTTTAATCTAGTTTACAAACTTCGAACCAAACTCAAACTTGATTAAAATTATGAAACATCAAAGTTTGAGTCCGGTTTGAAAGTCAAATCAGTCTCAAACTTAACAAAAGCTTGGTCTGGTCCGGTAGTAGCACTGATTCAGAATCCCATTTCCTGACAAACTTTGCTTAGAAGAATATGTTTAAATATTGTGGGTTTGAGGTTTTTAATATTCATTAAGGTTTTTAACTTTAAAGTTCGGTATTGCTATATATATAACGACCCTATATATAACGAATTCAAAAATTTAAATAGTTCGATATAGAAAGTGCCATGAGTCTTTAAAAATTGCAGGATCGAGTATTCAAAAACTTAAAAAACATTCTTCGTTCATTTATTCACTTAATTTAGTCCGCGAGTATAAAGAACATTTATCAAGTATTTAAATTTAGCTGTTCAAGTTCATAGATATTTTCTATTTTCCTTAATTTCTCAATGAAAGATTGATTATAGACGTGTATGAACATATGAGCTGCTGTCAATAGAAATCAAGCATTCTACATTTGAAAAAAACTAATGCCATAGCTTTCACAGTTCATATCTCAATGGATTTTAAAGCTACCTTGATGGCGGAAGTTAGATTATAGGCTTTCTTTTGAATATTAAACCATTAAGATATCTTTAAAATCCGGCAATATATGAGCTGTGAAAGTTAAAGCATTAAATTTTTTTCAAATGTAGATTTGCTTGATTTCTATTGACGGCAGCCCATATGATCGAATGGCTCCAGTAATAGACTATATTATATATTAAAAACATTGGAGGAGGATTTAGTTCTAAATTTTTTGAATTTGGGTGGATATTATATTATGCGCCCGGAACCAAATCATGGTTTTCATTTTGATGACTACCGTAAAAACTCGAAATAACGACCATGGGCGTTATTTCCGAAATTTGTAATTTCACCCATGCACATTATTTCGAGTTTTTACGGTAAAAAGGTTCCTTTCTCCATTCTACGCATGTCTCGAAGGTTCATGGCCCTTAAACTTGGCAATCTAGTCTAGGTAACTAAGTCATTCTTTATTTACTGGAGTCGGGGCTTCCATTGTTTGTTCCATTGACAAGGTTGTAAATAATGTGCCGATATTAATACTAATCAAGTCATCAAAATCCTTTATGTTTCGGGGATTAGTTTAACCTAGGTTTGCTTCCTATTTTTAAGAAGATAAAGCTTATTTCTTTGATCTAGAATTGTCTAAAAAGGAGGGTGAAAATGGTTAAAAAAGCTGTATTTATTCTACCGTTTTCCAAAGGTTTTATCTAATCAGAAGTTTATGCCAATTTCTTGTGCAGAAACTATTTGAGGAAAGAATGAATCCTTGGAAGAACCAATATGAACTCAAAATAAAAGGCAAAGCCCAAGGGGCTTTGGTATGTTAGAGATGTTAACCAGGATCGGTTTTGGAAGGGTCAACTGTATTTAATCAAAGGTCTCCAGAAATTATTACAAAAATTGCTAGTAACAATTTAATACGTCAATAATTGGTCAGAATCTTTTTCAATTTGTAGGTAGAATTTAAACAATGGTGTGTAACACGATTTTAAATGTTCTAGCATTACCACCAATAGATTATACTGTAATTTTCTCCTTTTTGAATTTTTATTTCTTTTAAACTTTTCGTTCTATTTTATTTTCCTTTTTAGGAGAGTTTTATCGGTTTTTTTCTTTTTTTTTTATTGGGTTTTTTACCCTTAAAAATGAAAACCATCAATAGTCTGAATAAATCATTATAAAGGACAAACTTGGACTAAAATTACATTCTTAATCTTTATGTACATACCAGAGATTGTACACATCAAGAAAATTTCTGCCTTGGTACAATCTCTAATATGTACTGTACGTATAAAGTTTTGAAGCCTTTTATATCCGTTGATTTGCTCGTTATATTCAGTGCTCATTGTAGCATAATCATAACGAATAATGACTCAATCGAATAAAATGTTCAGATTGTTTCGCTTGGAATGATCTAGAGTTTATATAATCCGTCAGTAAATGATGGATCCAATGTTTAGTAGAGTACATTATGACGATTTAAATGGAATTTATGCTCGCAAATTAACGAAATGAAATTTATCTAAGTTATTTTGCGTGAGTTTTCTTATTTGTTATAAGCACTAATGAATTGGAATAATTTCGTATACGGATATTAGACGAACCTAGCATACTCATCAAGATCATTTACGTACGATGTTTAAATTATTTTCCAGTACATATAATTTGATATAAAACTCACTTGAAATTTCATATAATGTCAAGTAGCAATCATATTCTTAAACATCGATTTCGCAAATAATTTTGATGCTTACGTTAGAGGGGTTATACAGTAGTAGTTAGAATTTTACGCGTAGTTAGAATGTTATACTTAACAGTCACACGAATTGTCACGCTTAACAGTCACACGAATTGTCACGCTTAACAGTCACACGAATTGTCACGCAGATCATGTATATGTATGAAATTTTTTAACATGAAATCAAATGATCGACCACCTAAATTTCATATGTAAAATTTAGGCAAATTTTGCGTATAAGCTTATTTAATAAAAAGGAATTGTTGGTTTAAATTTTGGGTAAAAGTCCGAAATTTTCAAGCATTTGAAGGTTCTTGACACAAAATTTCAAGGTTGTTCGAAATAAAATGCTAGAACATTTCGGACTTTTACCCAAAATTTAAACCAACAATTCCTTTTTGTTAAATAAGCTTAATACGCAAAATTTGCCTAAATGTTACATATGAAATTTAGGTGCGTCTATCATTTGACCTCATATTAAAAATTTTACTTGTGACAAATCGGTTGAAAGATTATCTGGCCGTGATCTTGATTGGAAATAATGATTAACTTCTTTCACAAAAAATAATTACAAGTATATATTTTCAATAAGCGAATTATTATTAAAGTTTATATAGATAGTCTAAATTTACCATAATTGCGGGAATAAATATTGGGTAACAACTAAATTTTTAAAAGTAAACTTTAAAGTTTTTTTACTTCTTTCTAACCTAATGAAATAAAAATACAATCTGCTTTTCATGACACATTCTTTATAAGTACACTAATTTTTAGAACAAACTTCTATAAACATAAGAAATTTGATCTTTATAGAAGCACAATTTCAGAATTTCTTGAAACTGGTGAGTGACTGTAAAAAGGTACTATAATAAAAATTTTTTAATTTGGATAATGCAATGTTATTTTTCTTTAAAGGTGTTTTTTTCTAACTGAAACTTAATAAACCATATCTGAATGTTATTTTTATAAATAGCAAAGATTTTTTGTTTGTAATTTTATAAGTTTTGTGCTTTAAGCAGGGCTTGAACAAATTTTAAATTTTAAAAATACAATTGTTTTTTTATAAAAATTAAATAAAAAATAATTTTGATATTTTACAAATATAGTTACTTATTAATGTATTGTAAACATTTTTAAAAATTTGTATAAAGTTAAATGTATAAAATATTAATCTAAAAATCATATTACAAATTCTTTAAATTTTTGTCTTTTAAATAAAAAAAATTTTAAAAAATTTTATATAATAGTTTTTAAAATAATTAAATAAAATTTTAGATTTTTATATTTAACAAGTTTTTATTATTATATAAAATTAATTAAAATAATATTTATATAGTAAAAGTTATTTTTTTATTAAGTTAATTGAATTTTAAATTTAATAAAATTATTTAATTATGTGAAAAATCAAGTTAATGATGGTCAGACTTAATGTACAAAGCAGACTATAATACTCTTTATAGCTATAAGAGCTAAGCATATGACAAACAAATCTACAAAAGAATTTTCTATTTTTTTAAATTCTATTTTATTATCAAATATCAAGAAAGCATTACAAAAATTAGTTCACAATATATTATATAACTTAGACTTATGCTATAACCAATAGATAGTATGTTTAAATTTATTTCTACTTTCACATTTACAAATACTTAACTCTTTTTTAAAACATATTTATCATTATAATTTTATTATAATATAATAATTTTAATTATGCATTCAAAATATCAATTAAACTTAACTATAGTGAATACTACATATATTTATTATACAATTCTCATTCTTTATCTAAATACTTTTTTTTACAACTATTAGGATATAATTATTATTTATCTATATTTATCTTTTCTAAATTTTCTTTAACAAATAATAATATAACAAATAACAATTTAATTGTCATAGATAATGAACTCAATTATATCTATTACTAACTAGTCGAAACTATTCTAAAAGATCATAATAATACTATTATAGCTAAACAATACTTTGATTACATTCAACTTAATACTTGTTACAACAAATTTTTATTATATAACTACCTTTTATTGCTTTCTTATTCACAAACTATTATTTTTTTTTTATGATATATTCACAACTTTGACTATTTATCTAATAACTTATATGATTATACATTAACTATTTCTATTAAAAATAATCATAGTAAAGCTTATATTTATCTTTCATTTAAACTTAAACTATTACCTAATTATTTTATTTTATCAGTTTAAGTTATCTAGCATTACTCTAATATTCAACTAAAATCAAACACATTAACATTTTTTTTTTATTATATAATATCAAGTAAGAAAAGTAATAATGCATGGATATATCAATTGGATATAAATGTATAAATAAAATATTCCTAAACTATACTATTGTTGCTATATATATAATGACATCTAGTGTAATATTAACCTTTAATTTTTTGGTTTAGTTAAATTAACTATCATAATCATTAACTACAAAGAAAGGTAAAAAGAACTCTTAAAATTGTTTTAATTAGTAAAAACAGGTATATATAGTAAAATTTTGAAAAAAAGATTTAAAAATAAATTGGTCAATATTAGTATTAAATACAAATATATTGTTATTAGAGTTATAAAGTTGTATAATAGATAATCAAACATTGTTTTTTCTTTTAATAAGAGCAGTAATTCCTCATGCTAATTCTTATTCATGTTGTTTAGTATTATAAGTTTGTTAGATAGTTAGATTGAACCAGTTGAGTAAAGAGTTAGATAAGGAAATAAGAAAGTTGTTAGTTAGTTTTTTTAGAATTAGTTGAAGTTGTTTATATTGGTCAAGTGTTATTATATCTTGAATAAGAAGAAATATTGTATTATATATAGTAGAGTTTAAAGAAAGATTTTGTAAGTTAAAGGTTTGAATTATAGTGTATAGTAAAGTTTCTAAAAAGTTTAAAGAGCTTAAAATATTAGTGGTTTCATTGATAAAAATGTTTTGTGAATTGTAAGTATGAAGTAAACAATGGAGTAAATGTTTAGTGTTTTTATATTAGTTACAATAGGTGCAGTTTGGAGTTAAGTAGAGTAAAGAATAGCGAATATTTAAATTTGACATTGTTGACAAGTTATTAAAAAGAATTTTGTTTCTAATTGAATAGAGTTTCAAATTAGAATTTTGGAACTTAATAATTTTAATAAGTAGTAAGATGTTTATAATAGGAAGATTTTATAGTAGTTTAAATTAAAGAAGTTTGTTAAATGTTTAAATAGAGAAGAGATTTTTGCAGAATTGACAAAGTTTGTATGTAATTGGAATTTTTTTCAAATAAAGAAAGTAGGTAAGTAAAGATGGTCAAGGTTATATTTTAGTTCTGTTTTTTTAGCATCTTGTTTAGCTAAGGCATCAGTAATATTATATAAAGTATTGTTTGAATATGATTTAACTTTGTGTATAATATAATTTATATTTTTAAGTTTGGTTAGATAGTTTAGAATATGGATAATATTACAGTTATTTTGTTTGGTTTGAGAATTGTAGTTATAAGAAATTGAATTGATAAGAGTTTGTATAGTAAATAAGCTGTTTAAATGGATATAAATTGAGTAGTTGAGAGATAAGATAAGAAATAAGGGTATAAGTGCTGCTAGTTCAGCTCATATTGAGTTTGGTGCAAAGTTTATAGAGACATTAAATTTAATTTGTATGTTATTTTACAGAATTCAGTAGAGGTGTTGTATGTTTATATAGAAGCATCTGTATAAAAATATATATTAGTTGGTTCAAGAGATAGTAATTTTTGTAAAAGTTTATAAGTTGGTTTTGATATATAGAGTCAGGTACTATGTTTTGTATTAGAAGAATTTCTAAAAAGGATAGTAAAAGAGATGGTAGAGATTTTGGAGCTAGTTTATATAGATCTGTATAAATATTTTAAAGTGCTTTGATTTCTTGGTTGTTTATATTAAGTTTGAAGTTTTATTTTCTTTTTTGTGTTTTGCATTTAAGATTAATGATTTGTTTATAATTTATTTGAAGCATTGTTGATATAGGAGAAATATAAATTGTGCATATTAACATTAATCTTTTTTATATTATTATCTTTAGATTATCAGTTTTTTCTTACTTCTAATCATCAATCTTAATCAAATTTTGAACCTTCTGATCTATCAAGACCAGCTTCTTTGAACAGTTCACCAATATTACTTTTTTAATCAACTTCAAATCTAGACCAAACTTATGATCTTAATCTTATAATCACAACTTATAATATTAGAGACTTTAACATTTTTACTAAAAAAAAAACCTAACAGAACTATTGTATATAAAATAGTATTTCTGTTGTTAATATTACAAATACTAATTATCAAACAAAACAGATTTATTCTTTTGTAACAACAACACTTTTACTTATTACTAGTCTAATTCTAAAACCTCAATTGAAAGAACAGCTATTATGATTTGTAATTATTTTAGATCCTATGTACATATTTGTATAATATATTTAGAAGAAACTATTACTTTAGATCTTTTTTTCAAGAGCAATATTAAGCTTTGCATAATTTCAGTATATCTTTTATCTACAGATCCACAAAATATAATGTTATACAAAATACTGTTATTAATTAAATTTAATTAGCATGTTAC